ACGAAGTTTTCAGAAACCTATGTTAGATATAAAGATGAATCTTATAAATACTCCTTCCAAAACGAAGAAGAGTCAACTGCAAGAGTTAGCGATTCAAAGAGAGGTAACTGAATTACGCTTATTCTATGAGTGGTTTGGGGATTTTACGATATCTTCAAGCGCACTTAAGAGAAATGACTTAGTACCCATGTTTACATTGAGCTATTTACAGCGATCTATCTTACTATGTGTTCTTATAATTTATAATAAATTGCCAATTTCTTTCACCTCTTCCAGAGTGACTACTTAAAGAGACAGCCACGAATCTATAGTTGACATCAATATGAAGAACACAAGTACTTAGTAGCAGTAAAATTTAACGTGTAATTCTATACGCGAAATTTCGCTCTAAAATTGTTTCTACTTATAAAAAAGCAGTTTGCTTGGTGACAGTGTACGGTTGCTTTCTAATTACAATAACCAGTCAACACTGGCTAAACTTACTAGACTGCCGGACAAGCTTTTATCCCATCTGTAATTTAGAATTCAAATAACTCAAACGAAAACAATAAACATCGTGTGATGCTAAAAGAAGACACACGATTGTTGGTGCTTCAGTTTGAAGTTACAGGAAACTAAAATTCCGCTGTTTGTTGATTGGAGAAAGCAGTGGTAGTTCAATTTTTTACAAATCGATTATTAAAGATCAAGAACTTTCTCCTGTATTAATGCGTTTTCTCACGTACTGCTGCAAATGAAAGCGAACTCATCAACACACCACTACAGCAGTTTGAACCAGATTACAGCGTTTCGTGACAGACTCAAAAAGAATACTAATTAAGGAAGGCAAATAATTGAATATATTGGTAGAAAAGGGAGACAAAAATGTGAAAAAAAATGCTAGCAAAATTTATATTTAGCCTTTTGAAATTAACCCGCGGGAAAGCGCGTGGGGTGTATTATACCCAAACCCTACATAAAAGTGGAATATTCCTAACTTGTGAAACTGAAATTCTGCGCTGCTTTCAGCAGCTGAGTTACTAGTTGTGGTTGACTTTCAGAAGCGCTTTTTCTTTGTGTGTTTCAGAAAAACATTTGTCGGTATTTTGTTGGAACTGGGGTATGACACACCCCACGCGCCTGTTCGTGTAAGTGTTTTTCTAACTGAATATTTAGTTCAGAAATTTATTTCTAGAGTGTAACAGTAAATATTTCTACTCGCAAGTGATTTTAAAGTACTTGACATTAAATTCTTAAAAATTTCTAACTGCACTATGATAAAAAGAATGAGTTCCTATGAACTGGAGATGCAACGCATGTGAGATTTATTAGAAATATTTGAAAGCGATGAAGATTGCATTTCGGAAATTGAAGATGAAACTTCCTTTCCTGCACTAAATGTTGCCTTAATAAATGCTTGAATCATATTACATTCAACTGCTAATCCACCAACCAGAAACAGAAGTCTGTTTTTGAAGGACTTAGCATTACAATTAATGAAAAAATGTATTCAACAAAGAATCAGAGATTAATACTTTTCCAAGAAATTGACGTACTCTATGCAAAACAAAAGCAGAAGTTTCGACGAAGAATTAAAACGAATACATGAAATTCGAAACAACTAAATATGAAAGATGTGATAAATTTTTTGTTCTCGCGCCAAGGACAGAAGAATGTGAAAGCAATGTTTAAAATGTGAAAACATTCTGTGCCAAGAACACATGAATGTATTTCGTTCAAAGTGGGAAGAAATAAAATAAGCATGGTGTATTAGAGATGCAATGAAACTTAGAGGCATGATGTTTATTTTTTTATTATTTTCAGTTATCTTAATTTTAACTCTAAGATTATTTCGGAAATTAATTTTTTGAAACCTAATTATTATTCACGTATTTATAGTACACGAGAACAAAAAAAACAGTTTTAAAACTAAATAATACTATTTTTATCATATTTTAAATATTGGGGTATGTGATACCCCACGCGCCCACTCTAGTAACTTTTCTTGGTGCGACTTCCGCCGGGTTAAATGAGCTGTGTAATTTGATAGAATGAAGGTCTATTTAAAATGTCTGTTTTGAAATCTTGTTATGAACTGGTGTTATTTACTCAAGGATTAGGAAGAGGCACCTGACTGTCTTTATGGAGTTAGAATTTAACATTTGCGATAGTTAAAGTTCCGTACAAACTTGCAATACGCTATTCCAGTAATACGTTATTGTGACTTAATTTGTCTGACATTAGCATCAAACCCAGTCTTACAAATTTTAGTTCAGTCCCAGTTTTGAAGAACTTCTACCACCAAATCTGTCGACAGAACTTCCGGTTCTGCACTATTTTAAATGCTCCATATCGCAAAGACATTACACTATTTCTTCTCCGGAAGACGAACCGGCGCAAAGCTTAGGCAGTTGGCTTCACCACTACCATGCCAAACGTGTGACGTAGTATTATATTGTTGAGTTTCTTACGGGTTCGTGGATTTGGGGTGACTAACGACAACAATTGATTGAAGAACGAAACACAATTTATTAGCCAGTATTACTCAGGACAACTCCAAAAACGCGTTTACCGTCGTCGAAAAAAATACGGCGAAAAACTTCGGTTGTTACGTTCTACGGGTTCGCGGATTTGGAGTGACTGACGACAACACCTGACGAAGCATCAAAACACAATTTATTCGCCAGTATTTCACAGAAGAGTTCAAAAGACACTTTTACAATCTACGATAAACAGGCTGATACAATCCTCAACGTAGCCTTCGGGCTATATCAAACTATAACGGTGAAGAAAACTTCACGGCAAAGCAGAAGAGTACAGTTCCCGACTCGGTTCGGTCGTTCTCAGAACTCAACGTACTCTCGAGATTCTTCACGCTACAACTCGCGATGCAGTCGGCGATACACTCGATAGCCTCAGTGATGCACATTCTCGATGCGCAAACTTGCGATACACTGACGAGACACTCTCGCGATGTACTAACTCACGACCAACTCGACACTAGACGACTTCGTTTACAGGCAAGGTTTATATAGCTTTTAATCTGAATTCGAGAACATTCTGGGCCAAACCGGTAAGAATTCGTTCCAGAATGTTCTCCAGCCGTCTATGGCATATCGCCAATTTTGTCCCCAAGTAGGGGATTTTGAGGCAAATTTGGCAACCGTAAATTAGCCTTGCGGGGAAGCTATCTTAACGCGGCTCGGCATATATAATTTGTAACAATATATATAATCAAATCTGCGACCTTGTATTGTTAACCAAGCTATAATATGTAAATCGGGACGCCAACAATGAAGAAGCATCATTTTGATAATGGAAATAAAAGTTCTGTAAAGTATGGCAGTTCATATCAAGAACTACTCGAGTAGATTGTAAAGAATACTGGAATGGTAATCTAAAACAACTCTCATTTCTGCGTGTTCAGAAAAAGAAGTCTTTAAATAAATCTTCCGCTTCAGATGCGCTCATTTTGTGACTCAAAAAAGTCTTCGCTCTCATATTTATGATTTTGTGAATGATTCATATTTAAGTATATCTTACTTAAATTAATCTTGTCTCGCGTTACATCAAAAATTAAAGGTGAACAGGGAAATACGATGGAAATAAAAAAGCAAGGATAATTTTCAGTGAATGAAATTAAGAAGAATGATGATGCAAGCGGAACCTGTTTATCACAGAGGTTTGATTACAAGCAAAAAAACTGTTTTTTTCTAAAGGAATTGGCTTTGACAATGAAGGATAGTTCAGATTATATTTACAGCGATGCAAATATTTTTAAAAACCATCAATTCTTACCAAACTGATTATATGTTGCATCCGCAGTCGAATGTGATTTAGAGTTTCGAGAAACTCAAGTTTTATTATCCAGACCTTGACGTAGATTAGAGAGAAATGCCAATTTTTTATTATCTCATTTTTCATTTCTTTAAATTTTTTTACTTTTATTTTCTGTAAACACTGGCTCAAAGCCGCATAAACTTTAACCTTAAGACTTGCCAAGCGAGGTATATTTCTGTCTCCTGAAAAATTCCGCTTTATCAAAACTTTAATATGATTTAAGAATTGTGCGCTGAAAAATTTATAAAATTAGCTCGGATAACCTCCAAAATCAGATTAGTACATAGCATGGATTTTTTTTAATCATGTAAGAAAATAGAAAAATGTGAAATGTACGAAAAGAGAGGTGTCTAACAAACTTGTCTGAAAGAAGAGTAGGGAATTTTATATATTATGAATGTGACTAACTCTAATAATTAATCGTAATTTGTGTGTATCAAAGATCGATAAGTTTAAGTATCCTAATTTTGTGATTCAAAATTTAATTTACCCTTAACCTTTTATAAATGGAAAAAGTGTAAATGGGACAAAAATTAAAGGGGTTTTGTGCAAATTTAGGGAAGTGTAACTTTTTAAATCTTAGTGGGAACAACTACTTTGTTAGTTACACCTTAGAAACATAAACTATTTGTCGACATAAAGTCAGCAGAACTATTTGCTCAATTAGTATTTTAATACGCCCAATTTTCTGTGGAAGGCATTTGCAATACTAGAATGATAAATATTCAGAAAAAGGAAAACTAGGAATACAAGCATTTTAAAGGAAAACTAGGAATATTAGCGTTTTAAAGGAAAACTAGCTCTACTGATATGAAACATGAGGAGAATCCCATGCGGCCAGCCCTTCGTGGATTTAAGCCGGGCTTGAACTATTAGTCAATGGGCTTAACACTAGACCAATGATAGGCGTTTTTAAAGAAAAACATACTATGACCCCGATTGTGTATTTTCTGTGTTCCTGTAGTTGCCATTTAGCTCTTTAAGTACAAAACTTTTATCAATATGTGGAAATCTTACATGTACCAGAGGCAGAACCAGAAAGTCCAGAAATTTTTGCACTGGGTTCTTATTACATTAATTAATATTTATAGCCTTTAATCAAAGTAGTTTCTTGTAATTCATGTTTGCAAATAAAAGTTGCAAAGCTATCTTGAATAAAATTTTAATTCGTTTCGTTTTAGGTTTCCCATTATGCATTTCTTGCCGAAGTCAACATTTGAAAGGTAAGGAACTAGATTTTGTTTTTAATTACTTTTAACTTAAGGTATGCAGTTAATAAAGTATTTTGTGTGACATGTAGCATCGATTTTGAATGATTTGTTTACAGATTATATGAAAACATAACGGATTTTATTCCATATTTCCTATCACCTTTACTCAAGATTAGCGTAATCATTAGCTGTTAGCCAAATATATGCCTAAATATTTTCAAAGATTTCGCAAGGTAAACAAAAATTATTTTCTCTCGCTACTTATTATTTTTTTACTTGATTATCGGTTTTGTTCCGTTTAATCCGTAGTTATCTCATGTGGGCGTTAAGGAGATTTGGGAAGACGGGTGAGTACCACCGGGTGAGACGGGTGATACCAGGACAGTAGGAGGCATTCAGAAAGTGAGCAATAAAAAAAAGGTCGAAACATTTGGTTGCCTAAATAGTTTTTAACAATTAACCTGTTTCAATGATCAAATGAAAGAGAAACATATCAATGTTAAATTTTAAATTAGGCAAAAAAGCAATTTTTCTATCATAAATTTTGGATAAAACTCTACCAAGGGCGAATCCTTATCCCTTTTCTTCAAAAGCAAAACTTTTTTTGGCAAAAGAGGACACCTAGATACTTAAACTATTCTAGCTTGAGCATTAAATATTTAGAAAAAAGACATAGGTTTTTACCTCAGTAGTCAAACTTGTAATAATAGGGAAACCTAATGAAAGGAGAGACGACCATTTTTACACCGAAAGCAAGGGATGGAGCAAACCGAACACGAATGTAGAATCATCTATCATCTAAAATATTAATAAATAGTGAAAAACTAAAGTACTAGAATCCTGAAAGTGGATTGGAAGTAAAATTCAAAAAGCGTTAGGAAGGATCGGATTGTAAGTCTAATTCTAAAAGCTCTAGCAAGAATTGGATGAAGATTAATGCCATTAGAGTCGATAAAGTTTCAATCAAAATCTTCAGTAAAATAAAGTTTGCTAATTTGAAATATTTAAGTATTCAATTTATAGGGTTCCAATCTTATATTTACAGCTATGTGTGGAGAACCTTGAGAACTGGTAAGCGAATAATCGCTTTAGCTCAGGAAACAGAAACGTTAACTCAAGAAGTGTTAATTACCCTGTATTTCTCAAAACAAATATTAACAGATGGCCCATTCTCAGGACGTACAGAAAAGCCTCCATTTGGGCTTGAACTCAAGCATACTAAGAAATACAATTTAACTAATGCTTACTAAAATGCTATAGCCGAAGCTATCAAAATTCTACAGGAGATACATTTGATATAAATAGGATTACATTTGATGATAAATAGGAAGATATCTCCTATTTGACATTATTGGTAAAACTGCAAATTCCAGAAACCCCGACTTAAACTCACTCTTGATGAGAGAAGCAATTAAAGCATTCATTCAATTCACTGACTAGGAGGAATGTTATGAATGTTTATGTCAAATTAGTGGAGCATTTTTATAAAAAATTACTTTTGCTGCTGATTTCACTGACATTTCTGTGGCAAGCATAAATCGCATTATATCCGACTTGAAATTATCGACTCCAGAAAAAACAACTTCTGGAAGTCGGTACATGCAAACCCGAATCAAACGACATGATAAGCTAACTTTAGCAATAATACGAGGAAAGGTTCACGGTTTCTTTAAGGGAATGATCCGTGAAAAGGTCATTCTAGCCTTCTCAGGTTAGATTTTTGTGAGGTATAGCGCGATCATATGACACCATCGAGAAAGTGCAGTGTTGCCACCTCGAGTTCGCAAAAATATTCTGCGCTGGATACTTTACATTTATACAGGGGTCAGTATAAACAAACCACACACAAAAAAAATCTAGATATTTTTACCTTCTCACTTTTTTTTGTTTAGTTAGGCCAAATGTCTTAGTTCAATTAATTATGAAGCTTCTACAACAATTCGCGGCGCCCTGTTTTTTCTTTAGTTAAGCCAAGTGTCTTAATTCAGTTAATTATAAAACTTTTACATCTTGCGGCGCCTTTGCGAAGAGGCCGCGGTGCACAGCTTGGGAACTGCAGAACTAGTAAACCAAATTTGTATCACTTCCTTGAAATGTGATTCTTTTTAGAGCGGAATAATGCATGCTATAAAATTTAACCTAAATTACCCTAAAGTCTATTAATTCTCTCCGCTCGATTCTCAGAAATGAAATGGCTTTATGGGCGTTTCTTTCATTAATAAATACGGATGCACTAAAGTCTTCTTTTAAAGTCCTCTGTGGCGGTCCTGGATGCTACGCTTGCTTTCCGTCTTCGTCTGTTGATGTGTGCATCTATTAGCACAGATGACGGTGGGGTCTTAAGACGCCTCTCGTCCGTTAAGATGATAAATACCTTTGGGACTCGATCGGATATCTGTTCCATTCGAGCTAATACCTTACCGCTATCCCAAAAGCTCACCCATACGATAATTTTGGGTAGAGCTGTTTCGTCGTAGTAGCACCTGTTTGGCTTTCTTTAAAAACTCCATCTTCAGCAAAGAGGGCATCAGTACTTGAACATAATGACATGTGAACTAAGAATTTGTTAAAATTTATAAATCATTTAGGATAGTTTAAATTTAACAAAACATTGGTTCCAGCAATTCATCACTCATTTTAACAAAAATAATTTTAAACGTTTTAATTTACTAGCTCGATTGCCATTTCAAAGCTCTGTCTTAAACAGAACTGTCTCAGATTCTCTTTCGCTTTGAATTTATTGCGCGAAATTTGTTTCCCAACTTTTTGAAAAAGAACGTTAATGCTCTGTAAGCAGGAACAAACCGGGTGTAAAATGTTCTGTCCGATTTTATTCTGCTATGCTATTTCACGACTTCCTTAATTGTTTTTCAGACAGAGTACTTGGCGTAATTACATTATTTGGCTTGTTTTGTATTCAGGAAAGGGGAATTCTGCGTGGCATTCAATTTGAATAATAAACAGCCCTCACAGACTTGAGAGCCTAATTGGTAAATTTCTTGTTTCGTTTTGTCTAGAAATCAAGTAAGAATACGGTATGCAATTCCCATGAGCCATGAATTCATAAGTTCTCAGTGATTCTTAAAATTTCAATAAGTGAATGAATAATTCTCTTGTAAATGACTTTCAAATTATCACCATATAATGAGCTATCCTTTACTTCTTCTTTAGGAAATTCAAAACTATTCTTATCACAAAACCATATTTCAAAAGCACGGCTCAAAAAAAAAATATACATTAAATTCATAAGTAAAAAACATCGTTTTTATAATTTCCTCTTTACTATTCACTGTTTGATAAAAATGTCTGGTGAATATCAACACAATTTGGGTGTGAATTTTTAATTCATTTTTTTAAGAATGATAGTATATTTTAAAGAAGAAAAATATATTTTGATAAAGCACCAAATTATCTTAATTTGGTACAAATCTTTACTTCTTCTATGTTGAAGAAAATGTGATTTTTACATCTCTACAGTTAATTTTTACATAACTTAATTATGAGTTATGCGCTGTACAACGAATAACTTAATCTCTTTGAAAAACAGTTAAATATACATCTTGAAATAGAGTCGTAAAATGTTCATTGTTTACATTGCTGATATCTTCGCAGTATATATGTCGATATATTTTCATAAAATTATTCAGTGTGCAGCACGTTCATAAAAAACTTTACGCAACTTTCATTTCTGTAGCCGTTGGTCGTAGACAAACTTTAAGCTATAGAAAGGCTTTAAATAAGGAAAATACTCAGGTTACGGTATTTTTAAATTTAAAAAATCAATTTTGTAAAATTTACAAAGTCTAACTTTGTATACGGTACTCTGGAACAAATAATTATTTTAAGTATAATTTTTCTGATGTTGAGAAATCAAACGTTATTTACTTTTTCGGCTGCAACGCAGAATCTCTATCAATCGGAATCTATGGGATCAGACATCAGGCCAATATCACCCAAAAGCACGTAAAATAACATTTATACGTTGAAACTATAAGTAAAAATGTGTGCACTTACGTCTTATATAAATATTTATTTAGATGAAATAATCAGCAATTTTAATCACCCTCTGCAGTTTGTCGGCCAGTCAGTCGCCGTAATTTTTCTGTTTAAAAATTCTGTTCACCATATATCCCATTTATACCTTTTCTGCTATCAATACATTTCAAAGCTTTTAATTTAATTTCAATATTTAACTCGTATTATTTCCTACTTTTTAAATATCTCTTTTAAAATTAATAGCAGAAAATATAAAAAGAAAATTGGAAAAGATATGACGATAAAATAGGCTTATATAACAGCCATAACTGAAGCGCCTAAGCTGGAGAATTTTCACAAGTGGTATTAGAATACTCTTATTTAACTCATAAGGTATTTCCTCCCTCCTTTCTGCATGCCTTCGTGCCTTCGTGGCGTAGCTAGAAGCAAGTTGGAAGCGTATTAGAGAGGTCCGAGGTTCGAATCCGGAGGATGGCCTGGCGGAATTTTATAGTTTTCTAACTTCGAAGAAACCTAATGACTCTACAAGTGGCGCAGGAATTAAAAGGTGGTTAACAGCAATTCGTCTTCACCAAGATTTAGCAACTATGTCCCTTAATCCCCATCAACCCTTGAAGAGGGGAAGTGTATAAGGTATTTTCTCACCGCTTTCCACGTGTCTTCGTTGTGTTACTGAAAGCACCCTCGACGCGTGTTCTGAATTTCGAATCCCGGTGACGGAATTTCACACTTCTCACGTTTTCGTATTGTCATAACCTAATAATTTACAAACCAAGTTTTGGACATTGTCATTGATTCTACACTCTAAATTTTCTTTGTTTTCTTGGAGTCTCTCTTAGACAAGTTTAGAAATTAAGAAAATAAAACTGGATATGAAAGAGTCTACTGTATGCGTAAAGAGTAAATATCCGCGCCTTTCAGCGTTATAGTATTACAAATCATTATTTATCACAACAAGACGGCGTAAGAAATCAACGTACATGCTGCGCAAAATGAGATAGTAACTTCAGCTCTGT